CCCCCCCCCCCCCCCGTCACCCCATAACGTTTCTAATGATCCGTCCCTAAAATACGTGAAAACCTATTGGGGACATTAAATATTAAACAGTAAATAAATAAATAATGAATTAATTATAAGTAAGGGACGGACCATTAGAAAACTTATGTGGGGGCGGGCGAAGTACAAAAAAAAAAATTCGCGCGAGGGAAAACTAAATGACAAAAATTCTTGCACGCCAATTAACCCTAAAAAATATTCATGCTATGGCCTGAAAAAAATTCATACAAGGAATTTGATAACGAAAAAAAATTTCTGCGGCTCGAAAATTCCCCTCCCCCCCAAAACTTTTCTAATGGTCTGTCCCTAAATAATAACACGACGGAACCTATTAGGGGAGGGAATGTTAATAAGTAAAATCAGTGACAAGGCCGAAAGATTTATGAGAAATCTTCTTGAATCTGGAAGTAACAACATCTTCCAAAAAAGTCTTATTTTTGTAGAACTTTCAAAGGGTGTATTAGTGACCGTTCTGGCAAATTTGCACTTACTATTTATTATCTTCCTTCGTCATGATCGCAATTCCTCAACGTGTCAGTAGATAAGGAAGAATTAACTTTAAGAGGCGGTCTCGGTAAGATCCTCATATCGAGTTTTGTCCACAAAATAGATTTCGCTCATAATTTTTTCTGTAGACTTCTTATAATAAGCACATAACAAATATGAAACTAGATTAGAAAAATTTGCTCCTTTAATTTTTTTTTTTTTTTTTAACGAATTTTCTTTCGTCACCACATGAAGGCCTGAGATGCTTGTGAAATATGCGAATTTTGTCAAAATTCAACCGAGTGCTCCGGATAAAAGAGCGCGACCCAAAGCTTCCAATTTACTAGTTATTTTAATTGAGCCTTTATCTTTAAGATAATACAGGTCAGAATCATCGACACCTTTTCGTTTATAAAATCTGAGGAAACACACTTAGCTCCTTTGACCCATTTAGCGAAACATGCGATTTTAGCCTGGGGGTAGGGGGGGTACTCCCTTATATAAGCTATGTAGGTATGTGCCGCCCCATCGGGTTGGGTTTTTGCGCGGTTTTGGTCTGAGAAAGGGCATACACTTTGCCCATTTTGGTGTGAAATCCGGTATGGTTTTTGTGGGAACTCATTGTATGAATGTCTTTATCGTTTCAATTCCAAGTGAGTGAGAAAGAAAGAAAAATATGCGAATTCGAAATGGATTTGAGTAATTTTTGGTTTGTTTGCCTAGAGGCCAGGTCTGAAAACGGGTATGGATTTTAGAGGTCTGGTCTGAAAACGGGTGTGAAAAATTACATTTTTTTTGGTATGAAATCGGGTCAGGATTTGGAGAACCGTGTGGTAAACCCCCACCAAGAATTCCCAGGAGGACCCCCCTCCCCTCCTCCAAGGTATTTTAGGCAAATTCAGTGGATTAAATCTCAAAAGTGGCTCACACTTACTGGCTCTCCTGCATATCATTGTGTAGTTCAATCCGTCAGCTACTGAATCATATTAAACGTTTTGGCCGCTATTTAGTTTCGGTCGAGGGGTGAGTGGCGAAACTTGCCTTACTTGGCCGTTTAGCCATGCCAGCGTTTCGCCATCGCGAAGTCTAGAAGGATTGTCAGAATAGAAACAGGGTCACCCTACGACCGTTTTCTGGGAAATGTTCTGAAATGGCTCGTTATGCATCCTGGGGTGCTTTAAAAGCAATATAAATGAATAATTCGCATCGCTAAAAAAATTTGATCTGTTCGGTCGTCCTAGGAGTGGTTTGAACCTCTCGAATTTTTTAGGGCTGTTTTTCGTCTTTCCTGAAAATAACAGCCTACAGTGAAAGCTTTCCGAAAACGTAAGAAACATTTTCGAAATTTTTAGCTGCTCTTGGGCTCTCGAAAATTTTAGCCATTCTAGAGGGCTCCGAACAGATAATTCCCAGAAAACGGCCCGGGGGAGGGGGGAGGGGGCACTGCCATATATGGGCTATATAGGTATGTGCCGCTGTGAAGGGTAAGGTTTTCAAGCAATTTACTCTAGGATAGGGTAGATAAATCAGAGCGTTTGGATCTAGAATGGGTATCATTTTTCAGGAAACTGAGCAGTTGGTTGAAGATTTTATCTAGACTAGGGAAACAGCTACTCTAGGATAGGGGGATTTGGGGAGTTTACTCTAGTACAGGCTAGCAAAATTCAGCTGAACTAGCTCTGGTATAAGTTAAGAGTTCCAGGGTCCCAGCGGCACATCCCCACCCAGAAATTCCTAAAGTACCTCTCCCCCCCCCCCCC